GGGGGGGGAGTATTTATGACTGAAAGAAGAGGTCGAGTTGGAAATATTATAATGATTAAGTATTAATTAAACAAAAAAGGGGTGGGGGCTTTAAAGAAAGATGAGGGGGAAGGGGATGAGGAAGAAGGAAAATGAATGAACTTTACTTTACTTTATCCGTTTTGCTTCTCATGAGTTTAATTCTTAAAGATCATGATGATTTAGTTTAACTTTGTTTACTCAAGCATATATTAGACCACTCTCAGGTTCAAGGTAACAGTGTGTCCCCCCCCCCCCCTACACCACCTTTTTTTAAATACAAATAACGAAAATCTTAAGTCAACAGATATTTGTCTATTTTTATCATAATTGAAGATTTAAAAAGATTGTTTTCGAAAAATAAAAGGGATATTGACTGATCCCGAATTCAGGTTTGATCGCTACAAATATAAGTTCTATCTGTTGCGTCTAAATTGGGAGAAATTGGTTAAAAATGCCTCGCCTCATACCCAAGAACGAAGAACCCACGAAGTTGTATTATTTCACCAAAACAGAAAAAAGTCATTTAGATTTAAAACAAATTATTTAGATATTACAAGTTATAAATGTCGAATTTAATTTGGGGCATTCTATGTAGTTAGTTTTTCGCACACCCCCTTTAAATTTTCGCGAACACTCCCTTTAAATAAAAAATAAAAATGATAAAAAGCACCATAAGTTCTAGTTTAAAAAAAATGTTTTTCTACAGGTTGCTACTGTTCACTGGAGAGTTCTACTGTCTGTAGCTAAAGGGGACAACCTAGGTACTTTATTCGATGACTTAATGGGAGTGTTCGCAAAAAATGAAAGGGGGTAAAGGATTAAGGCGAAAAATAAGCGCTTTTGATTGTTTCTAATCTTACCTTTATCTGTTGCGTCTATAAGGAGAAAATTTTAAAAAACTTCTCATACTGAAGAACGTAGCGTCCATACAAATTCAGGAAGTACATTCAACTCGGATCGTAAAATAATGATATAATCAATTAAATTCTAAACAAATCATTCAGATACCACAAAAAACAGTCATCGATTATTTTTTGACACATTCGTATAAAGTAAAAATATTTCATGATATTTTTGATTTAAAAAAATAATATTTCGCTGGCGCTGGATTTTCGAACTTTCCTGGAAAATATGAAAATGTCGTCTTCATTATCAAAAATGAATGTTTTCAAAAGTATCAGATGATACAAAATTAAAAATATTATGAAATATCAACTATATACAAATGCGTCAAAAAATTATTGATAATTATTGGTTGTAATGTCTGAATGATTTGTTTGAATTAAATTATTTTACGATCCGAGTTTAATATTGCAACTTTCTGAATTTTCATGAACGCTACGTTATTCAGCATGAGTCGTTTTAACAAGTTTCTCCTTATAGACGCAACAGAAAGAAGTAAGATTAGTGACAATCAAAAGCGCTTTTTTCTCCGTAAGCCTTTATACCCCCTTTCATTTTTCGCGAACACTCCCTTTAAAGAGACTGTAGACGTAGTTCCATATGACTCTTTAGTTATAAAGCGGCACGTCAGATTCACAAGGTTCACCTAAAAGCTGTGTCTGATCAAGAGTGAATTGCGAATTTATTGTTTACAGAAACAATGTCAAGATTAAACTTTTGTCAACCAATAAAACTGCGATATCAATACCTTGAATCGGACAAATCCCTCTTCAAATGGAGGGTTACCTAATTGAAATTGCGTAGACAGTCCCTTTAATGCGTAAAGATATAAGAAATTTAGCGTTTGTCACAAACTATGATTTTCTAATCTCTATATCTTTGCAACCCAATGCTTTAGACCTTAGATATTTCAAACTATGAATTCTGTTAGAAGAAAGGATCAAAGTTTGAAATATTAAAGGTCTACACCATCAGGTGAAAAAAGATGGGTTATAGAAAATAAGAGTTTGTTACAATTCTTTTTTTTTTTTTGTGTTTTTTTTCTGTAAACAAAGAGACTCAACTTATCCGTTACAAGTAAAATCCTATGGATTTGAATTTTCCCGCATTATTTGAAAACTAAATTTTTCCTATCATTTAAAAAAAGAACTTTTTCCAGACTCGTACATTTTCAAATTCATTGAAATTCAAATTCATTGAAATCTGACTTATGTAATTTTTCTTTTATTATCTACATCTTGCGATTTTTTTCTTACTGTAGAATAGTTTTTAAGAAATCGTTTTAAGCTAATATTTTCTCAGAGAAAGAATTTGTCATTATATAATAAAGCACACTTATAAAGTTTTGCAATTGGTTAATAGCTCAGATATTCTACAGAGCCTCTTAAAGGTAAAAACCTTTAAATATTTTTTAAAATGCCATGCATCTTAACAGATGGTTTGACGAGGGAGAGAAAGCAACCTTCCACTCCATAGCTACCGAACCTCATTTTACCTATTTGCGGCATTACGTGGCCCCATACGGCTTCTGAACCTCCAAAAACGGTCTTCCGGAGATGATCTTCCACTGATAACAGTCAGTTTCTACTTAAAACGGGATTAATTCGATTATTTAATTATTAATTTAATTATTAATTTTTATTCGATTTTACAATCAAAGTTCGGACTGGAAAATATATCGCTTCTCAGTGTCTTTCNAACGATCAAAATGTAATTATATTTCGATCTATTTGTATTTTAAATTTAGCGCTTGTAAAAAAAAGCCCCAATGGTTTTAAAATCATTAGGTTATAACTTATTACAGAGTTTTGTATTCTTTAAATATCTCAATAACTAGAAAGAAAATTTTCAAATTTTAGAATCTACATTTCATGAAATATATTTTTCACTTGTTAACTTATTGGCAAAAGCTATTAACAAAAAAGGCCATCAATTCTAAGATTTGTTGCGAAAAAAAAAATTTAAAAAAAAACACTATTTTCTCTATATTCTTGCAAATTAATCTTTTGCTTTATCAGGAGAAAATATAATTTCAGTAATTTCTGACGCCATTACAGATTTAGAATATGAAAATTTTGTTTTAATACATAAAAATTGACGATTATAAACGGAAGATCATTCCTGGAATACTATCCTCATGGGACGCGCACTGCCGCCAATAGGCAAGTAAGTAAAATGAGGTTCGGAAGTTGTGCGGGTGAGGTTGCCTTCCCTCCCTCGTTTGATAGGCAGTTAATTTGATCCCTTTTAATTAAAAACAGTTTCATTTTTGTTGGCTTTCAATAGGTTGATGTAGAAACTGGTATGTTTTAATGGTATGCTTTTATTTAATTGTGTTGTAAAATATTGATAATAATACATCAATCATGAATGGGTAAAATTATTTTCCTTTTTGTGTGCAATTACGTGAGTTTGCAAAATAAAGGTCAGAAAACAAATAACAAAAAGAAATTATAAATGTTTTAGATTTGGAGATATTATACTCCTCTTTGCGTACTATAGAACAAAGGTAATATTCTTTAGGGGGGGGGGGGGCACCTTAGACGATCCTAATAAGCCCCCCCTCCCCCCCGTAAAAATTCATATCCAACACTAAAAATGAAAAAATCACAAAAATGTATTTTTATTTAATTCAGATATATTTTTATTATCCAATTATATTAATTATTCATATAACTAAAGTTTAAAAAATATAAAGTTACAAAGATTTAGGGATCGGAAAATTTGAGCTTGTAGCAAAAACTCAAACCTTTACTTATTGGGATGGTGCTGGGTGGTTCCCTTTAAGATTAAATGCCACTTATATACAATATTTATATATTAGGTGGGATAAGTCTAAGTTATCAAAAGATGAAGAGGCACAGTTGGCGGCAAGTTTTACAAGGTAAATATTCACTGAAACTAGTTAGAACTGTTTTTGTTGAGAATCACAAGATCAAGCATCGATATTTATCTTATAGACCTACGAATAAAGTTTCCTCTTCTATATCACGTGGTTGTCATAACAGAGCTGGAAACTCTTATGATGGATATCCTAAATCCAGTTCGCTTTATCTCAATATCCCACTTTTGATTTTCAGCTTAATTCTCTCTTTGGCTTCTGATTGGCTGTTCGGTTTCTACAAACGATACTTTGATTTGTTGAATTTTAGACACTTTTCTTGATATCAGATAAAGATAAAATTAATCTGCGGATTAAAAAAAAGCTGAGATTAAACATTGATCTCGAGATCAAGGGTTCAAGATTTACGATACTCCACACAAAAGTTCCGACCTCTGGCAACATTTATCAACATTCTCTCTTTCAAAACAGGACAAAACTGTTAAGACATATACAGGACCTAAGGACAAAAGGACATAAGGACATAATGACATAAGGACGCACATTAATGATTCACATCATCAAGGACGCACAATGTTTGTATTGGAATAATTGTTGTCATCATTCTTTTTTCTCTAGGAATGTTTCAATTTAAGTAATTGTTCTAATTGAGATACGTTTAAACATCCAAATAAAAAAATGCATTAAAATCTATTTTTAAATCATCATTTAAAGAATGAACAAAGACAATAATTACTCAATATATTTCTTGTTATTTCTTAATTTTGTTTAGTTTTATTGATGATTGCCTGGAGAAGATAAAGGATTTAAATACATGGTTTCCTCACAATAGACCCTCAGCTAAAGGGAACCTAGAATATATGCTTAGGTAATGGGAACCTAGAATATATGCTCAGGTAAAGGGAACCTAGAAGATATGCCCAGGTAAAGGGAACCTTGAATATACGCTCAGGTAAATGGAACCTTGAATATATGCTCAGGTAAAGGGAATTTAGAATATTACTCAGGTAAAGGGAACCTAGAATATACGCTCAGGTAAAGGGAACCTAGAATATATGCTAAGGTAAAGGGAACCTAGAATATATGCTCAGGTAAATGGAACCTTGAGTATATGTTCAGGTAAAGGGAACCTTGAATATATGCTCAGGTAAAGGGAACCTAGAATATATGCTCAAGTAAAAGGGAACCTAGAATATATGCTCAGGTAAAGGGAACCTAGAATATATGCTCAGGTAAAGGGAACCTTGAATATATGCTCAGGTAAAGGGAACCTTGAATATATGCTCATGTTTTGTAACAACATGAAAAGATTACTTTAATGTCGTTATTCTATTCTACAGTTTTGTGGGAATCACTGTATTTGTGCAGGTGCCTCTACCAGCTGTCCGAGATGAAGACCTTCTCCTCCTGCTGCCCCTTTAACAAGGAGATCAGGAGCGATGTTATCCTGGCGATTAAGAAGGGGGTGACGGATAGGTTTAGGAGATTAGTTATCAGGGCTGGAGGGGAGGAAGCAGATATTAAGAATAGGTGAGTAGTATGTACAGTGTTCACCAGAATAAAGTGAAAAAGTCAAAATTACATGATATTATACTTTTCAAAGATTGTCTTAAGTAAAGCAAGGCCGAGTTTTTATATTGTAAAAAGTATAAGAAATCTTTAAAAAATTGTCATCAAATAAAATACCTCTTTTTTAAACTACACTTGCCAAGTTGTCGAGCGTTCCGTCCCCCTCTTTCATTTTCAAGCCTTAATTTTACTGCCATAATTAAACGTTCCTTGGGTCATGTTAGGTTACATTTTTTTAAGGCTTTTTGGCCCATTTTTACTTTAAAAAAAAATATATTTTTCTGGATTTATGTTTAAAAAATTTAATATTTCTTGTTTAGAACTGGGACTGTCTCTTTAATCCTGGAGGAGGTTATTCAAGATCTAGACAACGCTTCATGCTTCTATGATAAAATATTTGACAGGTAGCCTTTGAATAATAACTAGCTGAAGTCCCCGGCGTTTCCCGTGAAATTTTGAAAACAGGTTTTTAAAATAAAAATTGAAAAAAATTTATTTTGAAAAAAAAATATATTTCAAATGAATACAAACTAGTTATTTTAGACAATTAATTTGGTCCAGCCGTTTGGGCAGCTATAGCTTTGAACATAAATAATTATACATAAATAATAATAATAAAAAAAATTGAGCGAAGAGCTTTATTATATATTCCTACACAAGCAATTGAACAGTTTGAAAGGAACTTAGAATAAAAAGCATAAAAGTATTCTCGGTCACGCTAAAGACAGAATGAGAAGGTCAAATTTACGCAACATTAATGACCAAGAGATCTTGTTATTTTACGCACAAGTATATTAAAACTGCTAATATCCCAGAAACATCTTAGAAATTTATTTTATTTTTGTTCCTCTAATTGAATCTTGAATGATAAAAGCATGTAAAATTAGAATTTTTGTGAAATTTACTCTAGTTTGAAAGAAAAAAAAAAACTTAAAGATTTAAGTCTTCGTGTTCAACTTAACGCCATTTTTCGACGATTTTTTAAATGTCGACATTTTTCTAGTGGGAAAATTTTTTATATGTAAAATTCGAAATGAATTTTGTAAGAAGTCAGTTGCAATTGGTTTGAATACTAAAAACTAGAATTAAAATTTCAGCAAATGGCCTTAAAATTTATATTTTAGTACGATGAAGGTTCATTATACAGCAACCATCTTCAAGCAGCTCAACAGGCTTGTAAGTTTTATAGAATTTTATAAAAATAAAATTTGAGTCAATTATTTTTTACTTTAATAATTCTAAAATACATTGTATAATATTTATTAACAAAATAGATATTTTATAATTTTTTTCAATTTTTAAAAAACTTTTAGATCTGTGAACGTGTGTATCCTATCCTAGTGGATATCTGTCAAGAAGATGACCAAGGTTGTTTTGATTTATATTATTCTGTTCATGTAAATGTCTGTTTTTATGTCTGGTGAGATATTTATTTGCCTGTTGATTTGTTTTTTTCTCTTTATATGTCTGTAATTCCATTTATGTACCCATATTTCTTTTCAATATCTGTTTTTCTGTTAGTATTGTGATGTCTGTAATTCCTTCATCTGCACATCCTTCTTTTTGACATTTCTGTTTAAACTTGTATTTTCCTGTCTTTGTTTTTTAATGTTTAATTTTTTCGGCCTTTTGTGTTTATATTTTCACTAAACTATTTTTTGTTAAATATTTCCTGTCTATGTGTAATTGAAATACAATTTTAATTTCTTTAATTAAAGTTTATATATAAGAAAGTAGAAACGAACACTGTGGAAAAGGAAGACGACTGGTAGACTTAAGTTCTGATTTTTAAAATGTCCAATTAACATGAAATACAGCAATTTCATTTCACTTAAAAATAGTTCATTATAAAGTTATTAGCAAAACTATCTAATGGATAACAACACCATATAATTGAAAGATTGATTACTATTCCCACAGGTTTTGGGTCTTTACTGTATATTCGCATATTTAATTTTTATTTAGAGACAGAGGACGAGGGGTTTAAAACACTGATTCAACAGTTTCAGCTTTGTCATGAGTTTAGGTATTTTTTTTCTTTGTATTGAAAAATTGAATGTTCGTCTTCTAGCTTGAAAACTGTTTTATTCTGACCATTTCCTTCATTGTTTCTGGAGCAAGATCCACATTCCACAAGTCACTTTTATAGAGAAACTGCAATTTTAAATAATCATTTTCTTAACTCATTCATTTTAGATTTGACAAAGGGTTTACGGGTACCGTTGTTCATCAGACTTGCCAACTTACTATTTGCATAATAGATGATCACCTGAAATTCTAGATACCTCAGTTATGAGAATAACTCAATGATTTAAGCAAATCACATACTTTTGTGATTAATGTATTTACATCTATATGTAAATACAAAAATCACAAACTTTTGTGATTTATGTATTAACATCTATATGTAAATACATAAATCCCATACTTTTCTTAAAACAACATTTATACTAGAGTCTATAGATAGAGTTAAAGATTTTTTTATAGCAAAAGGCGAATACTATTTTAGCCCTTTTTATGATAATTGATGATGTTTCATATCAATGTGAATTAAGCTTTAAAAAAGCTTTCTTCTTTCGCTTTATATATTATGTTTATAGTTTTTGAGCGTGCTATAAAATAAAAGTGATAATAAAAATGATGTATCAGATTATGAATGTAAAATAATCATTATTAAATAGTTTTGGTTTGTTGTGTCAGGGAATTTAAGCCCGAGCTTAAGATATTTACAAAAAATACATTCGATGTGCAGCATATCATGTACGAAACGTTTAACTGAGAAGTCCCATTGTGAGCAAAGTTGTTGTGTTAACACTTTTCATTTAAAAAGTTTTCCATGAATCCGGTTAAACTTTGCAACCTGTTTTTGCAATACCATTCCTCTTAGGGTTTGAAGACTTTATCAACAGGCAGCCGTAGTACATTTGAATTTCCGAGGTGGGTCAACCTTTCTGGTCCCAGTCTGTACTGTACCTGGCTCTATAGACATTACTAGCCGGTGCAACAAGGTTGACGCGGTCCGACTTTATGCTTCATATAGGTTGAATTTACTTTTACTAAAGGGGCAGAGGTGCGTGCTTAGGGGTTGCAGACTTTTATCAAGAATAAAATCATTTAAGTTTTTGCCTCAAACTCAAATTTTCTAATCCATATATTATGGAACCTTTTGGTGTAAACCTTTGATATTTAAAACTTGAATTATTTGATCTTTCAGAATTAAAAACTTGAAATATCTAAGGTCTTTCTATGACAATGGGTTGCAAATATATTTGGATTAGAAAATCAGAGTTTGTGTCAAAGATAATGATCATTCAATCTATGTTTGGTGTTTCAGGAGGTTCCAAGGGTTCGGAGAGGGACTGTCTAGAGTGGATAAACGTGGTTTAAATCTAAACAGGTTCATTCTTTTTATTCTAATTTAAAATATCAATTAAATAGAAACGGACAATTTGAACCGATCAAATATTGTAAAAAGCACGTGTTTTTTTACATTAGACAAGAAAAAAAAACATTCTTCAGGCTTTAAGTAATTTTAACTAAGTTTTATAAACATAATTTTATTTTATAAATTTCATATGAATATTGCATAATATTTTTGAATTTTTAAAAAAATAATATTTCGCTGGCGCTGGATTTTCGAACTTTCCTGGAAAATATGAAAATGTCGTCTTCATTATCAAAAATGAATGTTTTCAAAAGTATCAGATGATACAAAATTAAAAATATTATGAAATATCAACTATATACAAATGCGTCAAAAAAAAAAATAATAATTTAACAAATTTCTTAGATTTCAAGAATACTTCGTACCAGCATTTAATCTTTGGCTAGACAAATCAAAACCTAAGGTAAAATTAAATTTTCAATTTAAAAATGTTTTTCCAATTCCAAACAATCTAACGTTGGGGAAATATTTGGAAAAATTATCTAGCCAGATCATCAAACGATTTTCTAAATAATTTCGAAGTAAGGATCGATTTAGAACATTTATTTTCTGGCCTCTAATAGCTGTGTTAACAATAAGAGCACTGAATTGAAAAATCAAATCGTGATAATCAATTTAGAAAGAAAATTTTGTAATTTCCGTATTTTCTTCTGTAAAAATATAGGATGAAAATTTCAAACATGGAGCTGATCCTGGCTAGCCTCAAACTTTATTTTTGGTTACCTTTACACATGATGAGACTTAAATGACAAAAATTTGCGAATTTTTAATCTATATGCTTTAACGTACCATTTCAAAGCTAACATTATTGCTAGGAAAATGGAAAATCCCTAAAGTAAATTGATAATATTTCTTATTTCTAGTTGTTAGAGCGAGTGTATAAATGCCTAGAACTGGATCATTGTACAACACAATACCAGGATATTAAGTACACCACTAGTGCCATAGACCTTACAGCTTCAATATATCAGGTATTAAAGGGTAACCAAAAATTGTTCAGGACTTTTGAAGATATTCTAATAAAAGCTGAACAACGATCATGACATGAGTGACTAAAACTGTTTGTTTATAGGTTACATATATGTAACTCTGGTTCAAGTTTCATCAAAATCAAACTAAATTCTGATACTATTCTTTTTTCTCTTGTTTTCCTTCTTTGGCGATGACAGCTGCCATGGCGTCTTGATTTCATCCAGCCTTATTCATCTTATTCTGAAGGTATTTCTTGATGGGGGGGGGGCCTTCCTGCACCTTTGATCTGACTTTGACAGTATCTATTTTCCTTAAGCTTCCGCAATAGAGTTGAATGTTTGTTTCTTCATATCTGGTATCTTGTTGAAGATGGTCCTTTATCTTCTCTAAGCTGTCAGCTGGATGAATGTCTAGGTAGCGATTTTAGCGACCTTTTCAGTGTTAAATCCATTCCGAAAAAGTACAGGAACAATGGCAGATACAATTATGCAACTTTTCTGCAGATTTTTTCTAGCATTCATAAGATAATTGTAAATAGTCCTGAACAATTTTGCTCACCCTGTACAGTTGTACTGTGCACTGCAAATATATCAGATAGTTTATAATTTACTGCTATATTTGGCCCCGTAGTAGATATAAAGAGAAAAAACGTCGTTTTTACATTTTAACCGAAAAATTGTCAAACGAGTTTAAAACTTTTTTAGAAATGTAAAATAAAATGCAAATAAGAACAGACTATAGAAAAAATGCAGTTTTTAAAATTTAAATATTATTTAAATGTTGATCTTTATTATGTAATTTCAGATAAAGGAAGTTTGGACTTCAATGAAGTTTACGAAATCAGAGAATACTCAATTTTTAGAAGTTAAACTATTTGAGGTAATGCATTAATATTTTCTTGATTTTCATGATATTTCATAAATATCTGGATTTTCTTGATATTTACAATATCTGGATTTCCTATCATTTAAGACGACATTTGAACCTAGCACTGGAAATACTTTGCTGGACACATACAGGGTGTCCCACGAAACATAACAGCTGGTAAATAGTTTTGGATGTCGTCTTCCATACACCGTATTAGATATTAAAGGCTGTTTGAAGTTTATTTCGTTTAAAAACGCTTTTGCTCAAATATATTTTACTCGAAGTTAATTTTACTATAATATGACTCCTATATACTATTTTCATTATTTTCTTTGGTATTAAACAACTTAAAAATTATGGAAGAAGACATTCTAAACTATTTACAAACTATCATGTTTCCTCCAGGAATACGGTGGTAAGCCTGGTAAGCGATTATATCACTACAATGAAGACGAATTTTTTAAAAAAAATTTCTGAAAATTTGCGTTCAAAGATATTTAACTCTATTAAAAACATTAAATCGATATCTCCAATTGAAATTTTGAACAAAGACGACTCCACTTCCGCCCTAGCTATAGTACTGTACAGTGTACAGTGATACACTGTACACTGTACATAATCTGTGACTTTTGAAGGTGTTAAGTGAAGCTATAGTACTGTACACTGACCACATACACAATGGCCTAGAGGAATCAGGATATTATGAACAGGATACCCCAACACTTATTTCTGATCAGGTAGGAGTAGTGCCTATAGTATACATTATACAAATTTTAATAAAGACGACTTTGTTCATTTATTTTGCAATATTCTGGTTAAAACAATAATATTGAGCTTCGAAATAAAAATAATTTACAAATACAGGGTTACCCACAAAACATGAGACTGTAAAAAGACATCTCAAAACTCTTGTAGTATGGCGAATTCAAGGTTAAATTAAGCTTTCTGCATGAATAAAGTTTTTCAATAACTTTTTAATGATCTTGCAAAGAAAGAAACAAGTTAGCATCCAAAGGGAACTATGAATATAGGAGAAAAACAGTATAAATTCCGTAGTACTTGTCTCTGAAGTCTCATTCTTTGTTGGTAACCCTGTACCTTCATCTTAAAAATAAAATGATATTTATTTTAAACAATAATATTGATCTTCAAAAGTAAATTAGCTTTCATACCTTTATTTTAAGTATTATATTTTATGATATTGTAATAAAATTTTTATTAATCAATAACATTGAGCTTCAAAAGTAGATTAGTTTTCATTTTAAGAATAGCATTTTATAACTTAGTATTCATATTTGTATTAATGTGAAAACAGGGGAAACAATAAACATATGAATTATGGATTGAGTTTGACAATTGTTTTCCAGTAAGACGTAATTTTTAGCTATTCCCTTTTATAAATTTCACTCTTAAAAAACTTAAAATAAGAAAAAGTCTCGCCCATCTTATTATCTTATCACTTTAGAAGAATTCTAGTGGTTTTTTTCTAAGTAAGACTGTAAATTTAAGTTAGTACTTAGTTTCCACTCCATGACTATAATGATGTTTTGTTGTAAATTAAGAAAATATTTTGATCTTAAAAATATGAAACAGATAAAATTCATAAAAAGTATATCGCTAACGTAAAGAAACACTCCTTCTCAAGAAATAGTTAAGGTAAGTATAATTTAATCTTTCTAAAGTTGTGAAGAAACAAAAAACAAACAAATATTCCCTGAAATGTTGAAGTGTTTAGATATTAACCTAGTTTTTAATGTTCTTTTTAAAGATCAACATGATCTTATATCATCCCTAGAGGATTGTAAAATTTCTAAATTATGATTTTAATCTATGATTGTAAACACAAAATAAATTTAATGTATATGTGCGGTGAGCTACACAGTTGGGATTTATAATCATCAAGTTAGAACAGGCAAATTAGGCCTGATCATTAATTTTTCTAACCAATGACATGTTCTTTAAAATTTCGTTCATGCAGTGAAAAAAAAACTATCGTTTCCCGTTAACTCCGCATTACTGACATGGCATGTCAGTTCTTTTTAATTTCCTCCTTTTAACTGTGTTTATTTGTTCCAATTATTCTTTTCCATAATATTAAAGTCTGTATTAAGGTTTGTAATATAATTTGTTAAATATACGTGTTGGAATTTGATATATGAAAATTTCTCCTCAATTTATTAAAATATTCTTCAATATTTTACCCATTACTATGTCTAGGGGTTTAAGTATAGTTAAGTATTAAAATATAATATTTAGCATATATTCAGAACATACATACTTTCTAGGGCTGGGCACGTTTTTTTAGAACATTTGGCTATTGGGCTTTAGTTCAGAGTTTTTTTTACATTTTTCATAATTTCATTGTTTTATCATCATGTGTATTACTTAGCTTTACCTTAATTAGACAATTCTAGTAATTGCTTGAAATTAAAGATATCTTAAAGCTTTAAAAGAATTTTTTAGAATTTCATTTTCAAACTGGTCATTTTAGCTATATTTGTTGGTATCTAAAGCTCACATAGAACATTTTAAAAAATGCATTATGAAATAATTATTTAGAGCTATCTTTTTATACCTAAGCAATTACTACGTTTATTCTTAAAACAATCTTTTAGACCTAATAATCACTTTATTATGTTAAAAGATTGATATATTGTTCTAAAATGTGTTCCTACAGGGGGGGGGGGGAGGCGCCCTGTGGCTCCCCTCTCAGGCCTCAGTTACGCCCCTGTTGGGCTGTAAGATTATTTCAAATGTATCCAGAAAGTCGAGAAAATAGAGAAGACAAAAAATATCACCCCTGACCCCTCGCCCTCCCTCTCCTGATAAAATGGTTGGAAACTTTTTTGATGTGGTTCGGATGATATTATTAAGGGGCTCAAAGCCGCGACTCCTTTCCTTTCTCTGTTAGAATCGAAAGTTCAGTGTATACATTGCGTACACTGGTCGGCAGAGTTCAGAGTATACATTAACATACATTATATATACAGCAACGTAACGTAACAGTTAGTTATGGTTACCTACCAAGTTCGTTGCTTTGGAAAAGTGCATGTCTAGAGTTAGACTAGTTACTATCTAACATCTAAGTGACGTTCAAGTGACGTACGTGATGCTTGCAAGCTCGGTTCTATAAAATTTGTTGAATTAAACTAAATCATTGTTTTGTAAAAACCTTTAATTAGTCTGGTGTCCATTTTTATTAGTTATGGCTTAATGAACAATTAATGTATATTTTTGTATTTTGAAAATTCTTTAAAAGTTTTACTTATATTATTTTTCTCCTGGCAAAATTTCAGAGATAAAGCATGTCGTCCTGTGCTAGAATATTAGTTGTAGGGGGAGGAATAACATCTGCAGCAACAGTTTCTCTTCTAGCTGAAACCATACCTCAGGTTATGCTTTAGCTATCGGAGTTTTCAGGGGTATAAAATTTCAAGAATTAACCCCTCTCTCCTGCCCTGTGGGAAATTATTTTCGATCTGGGGGGGAAAATGAAAAGTTGAGTATCTAAAGAGGGGGCCGAGCGCTGCGGCCACGGGTTAGGTTAAGTAGAGACACTTTCTGTGAGATCCATGTACAAAAATGATAAGTTTTATAAAGGTCTTGTCCATGATATCTTACTAAAACCGCCTTTAGGATTTCAGAAAAAATATCTATGAGGAAAAGAAAAAAAGAAAAATTTCTGCAGAAATTTTATTTTTGTATTTTTTTATTCAATTTAATGAAAACTTATCAAACGCTCTTGTATCCTAAACAGTCATGAATAAAATTCCTTTTAAGGTTTGGTTTTATCGGTTTTATTGAGGAAAATACTTAATTTGGGTAAAAAAAGATCAATGATTTTCTTGCTGCATAAAAATATAAAAATGACAATAAGAGATATTTCACATGGTTCTCTTGTTAGTGATGTAATTTTACATGTAATCTAGGAAAGCTTAACTGTTTGGGATAAGGCAAGAGGAGCTGGGGGTCGCATGTCAACATCTAGAAGCACTGGAAATCCACAGGAGCAAATTACTTTCATTACAAATGTTTTTTATTAAAGACTCAAGATCAAGAGTTCAAATGTAAAAAGAAAAAATCTACATTTTAAATCCTATTTAAGAAACTATATACATGATTTCAAATGTGTGTAGCGGATTCACAACAATACCCTTTGTATGCAAACTGTTTTTAAGAAAAATGTTCTTGATGATTAATCAAAGGTTTAAAGGGTACGGTTTAAATCGGGAATTTACTCTTTGCACTTAAAACTACGCTTACAAGTCCCTTTAAGATATGTCAATGAAGCCTTGTAATCTACGGCTTGTCTCGGATTAATTATCCTGTGATTTATCACCTTGTAGTCTAGGGCTTGTCTCAGATTAATTATCCTGTGATTTATCACCTTGTAGTCTAGGGCTTGTCTCGGATTAATTATCTTGTGATTTATCACCTTGTAATCTAGGGCTTGTCTAGGATTAATTATCCTGTGATTTATCACCTTGTAGTCTAGGGCTTGTCTAGGATTAATTATCCTGTGATTTATCACCTTGATGATCAAAGTAATATGTTCTGTAAAGTGTAAAGTTGACTTAGGAGCACAATATGTTTCTGCTAGTTCAGAATCTCAAGTACTCCACAAGGTAAAAGGGAAGACTAAAAAGGTTGTAAAATAAGGTCTGATTTATTAAAGAAATTGAGTCTTTGTCACAAACTCTGATTTTCTAATCCCAATATCTTTGCAACCCAATGCCGTAGATCTTAGAAATTTTTTTTCCTATGAATTCTGTTCGATCAAATAATCTTAGTTTGAAATATTAGAGGTTTACACCATCATGTTCTAAAGATATAGGGATTAGAAAATTTAAGTTTTTGCAGGAAAGACTCAATTTCTTTTAAGTTATTCATACTTTGACGAAGGACTTGTTTAAACTTAATTTAAGGCAATCTCTTTTTGATGTTTTTTTCAGTATGTTGTGGATCAAAATATATTTCGAATATAAAATTAAACTGTAGTATCTAATCGTTAATTGCAAATGTCATTATTTTTTTATTTTTTTTTTTTTTAACTTTCTATTTCTAAAATAACACTATTTTATCGCATTCAAATTTTGCAGTGCCTGTGTAAAAAGCTGAATTGAACGCGGCATGACAAATGAAAAGTTGTGCACATGCGGGAACAAAATCTACAAAATCTACGAACCAAAATACGATTAATGATTAATTGATTGTCGTAGAGACGTCGTCTTTGTATACACATTTTACATGTTTTAATACGAAAAACGTTCATTTCTTGCTAACTCAAATATCAAAAGTTTTCATATTTTAGTACATAATAACGAACACATAATGACATTAAAATATAATAAATTTAAATGTTATTGGGCTGCTGTTACTGAAAAAAACATCAAATAGTGTCTATAGAGAGGGACCGTCCCTTTCCGCTCAAATTCTGAACGAAAAATCGGCTTTTTTTCCGGCCACAGTTGTCTTTGAAAAGTAAGACCAATCAAGAGCGAATAGACTGTTTAGTTGACCCTGAAATTACCCAAATAAGTGAACGGTCCCTTTAAGTAGGTTACAATTTCCCCTTATTTAGTATTATTTATGTAAGATATTCATAACATATGCTTTGTTACAATACAAATTATTTTAGGACATGTACAATCAGCTTTTATCTGCAGGAGTTCTAACTCAACTTGACTCTCAGGCAGAATCTATTTGATATTTGATGTTTAAGTCCTAAGGTCGGAAATATAGTTCGGGGCAGGATAGATAACTCGCTACAGGGACTAGTCACTTCTGTGATCGAGAGATTTATAAGACATTTCTCTTTTATTGGTTGAGCACTTTAGTGGTTTAATCAAAGGATTGATATAATCTGTTGAGCTATAAATGAAAAGGATCAGTCCGATTCAAAAGTTATGGCATCTGTTCTTGCAAATAAATTCAAATGAATTTCATAATATTTTTTCGCGCAAAGTTTACAAAAATCAAAAACTTTCGGACACAAATTTTCGTAATTTTGAGCATCTAGAAGCCTTCTCTTGGGTCATGTGAGGTGTCACACAAAATTTGGGCCAGATCGGTTCAGAAGTTTTGACATTTATTGGATACAAACAGACAGACAGACATGCAAAGTATATTTTAACAAAAAAAAATATTTTCTCAACAAAATGATTCTTATCAACAGGGAATAGAAGGATTCAGGAAACTCAAATAATTTATCTTTAGTGCCTGGTATAAACCACTGTTTTTGGTCCTAACTCTAATTATTTACTAATGAAAAACAAGACAAAAAGTTAAAGAATATTTGCAGTCAATAGTTTTCATTAAATCTATTCCCACTCTTACAGCCTTCTAGCTTCTAGCTCCCTCTCCCTGGACAGTTACACCGTAGTACACAATTATAAATCAAACATCTCAGATTCTTATAAACCTCTAAAAAAGCCGTATTTTTAATGCATTAAAGTTTTAAAGTTACAGAGTGAATTTCAATTCAAAACTTTAAATATAACATGAAAAGCGAGTCATTTTTGGATGTTTTTCTTCTCTTTCATAATATTTTATATTATTTTGTCAATCCCAGGTCTGAAGACCCTAGGGTTCTGCACTATACAGCTCCAAATGGAATGTCTACTATAGTGAAACATTTCTTTCAAAGGTAATAGATGGATCATTATTCATAGATGATATATATCACTGAGTAAGATTATAATTATACATCCTCTTTATTACATACATTTCTTTATTCAATATCGTTCTGCTTTATTTGAAGGGTGTCCCTGCAAACATGAACATTTTTGTCATAAATAATAAATGTTAATTCTTTTTATTTATTTTATTGAAATTTAATGCTGCGATCATGCATGAATCTTATTTTTAATTTTAATTTTGAAACAATTAGAATTAAATACCGCTATTTTAAGCATTTTCTATGTGCCTTTTTGTGCGTTCAAAGGAGTTGAGTCTTTGCTACAAACTCTGATTTTCTACTCACTATATCTTTGGAACCAAATGTTGTATATCTAAGATATTTCAAACTATGAATTCTGTTAGATCAAATAATCTAAGTTTGAAATATCAAAGGTTTACAACATCGGGCTCTAAAGATATTGAGGTTTAAATATTTGATTTTGTTCCAAAGACTCAATTCCTTTACTTATGAATTTTGTTCAGTTTTCAATCAAGTAAATGAAACGAAAATTATCAAATCGCAGTATTTGATTTTAAGAAACAAAGTGGCATAATTATATGTATACTACAAATAATGGAAAGCAAACAATTTGAGCAAACTTTTCTTGCAACCACACTTTCTCATTAGCATTTAAATTTTTTTCTTTATAAAAGGTTTAAATTCTACAATAAGAAATATTTGTTTAGATCTGGAGCCCAAGTTCATTTCAATCAGAGAATTGTTGAACTGTCAAAATCTGGGAATAAATGGAAAGTTGTCTCTGAAAAGGGATTAGAGGTTAAAAAAGACTAATTAAAGGGAGTGACCGGCACTGTGTGGTAGTTGAACTGAGAATGCTTTTTTGATATAAAATTTTAAAGGATTCATTTGAGGCCTATTAGATGTTTTTACGGTGCATATATGTTCAGCAAAAGTACAAATTCAATTAAAAAAAATCCTCCTTCATTGTCTATTCTGGAGAGATGATTTTGAGAATCGGTTTTTTTTATAAATATTTCAATAACAACGACGAAAAATGTAACAAAAATTCTAAAGTAAACTAATTGGATGCTTTGGAACATATTTCTTGAAAGAAATTTGTCAATGAATTAATGTTAGAATTAATCACTATTTCCTTTTCATTGTTATTTTGATATTCTTATTCTTAACAAATTTCTTTGCTGATTTCTTTAAGTTCTTCAAATGTTGTCTTTTCAATTAAATTCCAGGAAATCTACTGAAAATGTTTTTGAACAATGAGATATTACAGAAACGAATAACTGAATAAGATTACTTATTTTCGAAAGTGAGAGTTAATTTGTATTTTTTCCATCTGTTCCTGAACAACTTATTAGTTTAATGTCATATCTTTGTTTCATTTTTCGTGGTCGTAATGGAATGATTTTTAAAAACCTGATTATCAAAATCATCCCTACAAAGATAAGGATTTCAAGATCGAATTTGCGCTCTTGCTGAACGTCTGATAGGTCTCAAATAAATCATAAAAAATTACTCTACAAAGCTACATTCTCAGTTCAGCTACCATACACTGCCGGTCACTCCCTTTAAATGAAATCATAGAATAATTAAATTTAGAAAAAGATCATCTTTTATTTTTTTGCTGTAATTATTAAAATATGAACAAAAAGAGTTTATAAAAAAAATATTTGCAAATTAAATTTTTAGGAGGAGTTTGAAACAGTTGTTCTTACCATGCCTGTTCCACAGGAATACATTCACAATTTTATAAAATGTTTATAGAATAAAAAAATATTGAAACTGTTTTCCAATTTTCAAATTATAACCCTTTTCCTCATTTTTCATTGACAAAATTGATATTATTGACAAAATATCAGAATCTTTTTTCGTTTTCCTGAAAAGTAAAGGATTGTTGTAAAGGAATTCAGTTCTTCCACAAATCTTTTAAAATTTCTCTTCCCAACCCTCCTTCTACTGAGACCCAGGGGGTGAAGTAATATTTAATTTAAAGGAAAAATGCTGATATTTATCTTGATGGATTAAAGCTACAGTGGTTTTTATACTTGTGAATAGATCTTAGAACTTGGAGGAGATATTGCAGAATTATTGAAGGAAGATGCAAGTGTACTGAATGGTCTCAAGGTATATATATATAAAGTTGTTTGGAGGAGATATTGCAGAATTATTGAAGGAAGATGCAAGTGTACTGAATGGTCTCAAGGTATATATATATAAAGTTGCTTGGAGGAGATATTGCAGAATTATTGAAGGAAGATGCAAGTGTACTGAATGGTCTCAAGGTTGTTCATCTATATATATATATATATATTAAATTATTTGTATGCAGGTCTGATCATAAATCATGGAACACCTTTACAAATTTGCTTAAAATTTTGAATTGGGTAAATGGGTAGGTACAAAGAAATGTTTAAATTTTTTAGTTAAGTTTGTTGATTATTATAGAGAAATTTAGCCTTCAGTAAAAACTTGGTTCCCAAGCTAGGTATGAAATATTAACCTCTGAAAAATTCTTTAAAATTCATTTATTCGTTTCATCTTTTCAGCCTTAAAGGCATTTTTATATACGTTTTTATAGTTCTTAGTGATATTTTATAATTACCTGAAAAAATGGTAAAGCTAATTTTCTTTTCTTATTTAAAGTTAACAATTTTGGGTTTATATAAATAAACTTCTTATTTTTTAGGAAAATTAGTGGCAATTTTGATAGATGTTCACACTTAATTTTTAATGTTAAATGTTGTCAACCTTTTTTGTTGATTTTGTAAGACAACCTGATTGTGGTTACTTTTTAGAGTGTGCGGTATAGTTCTCGGTTTGTATTGGGTTTGTTCTTTGATGAGAATGTTAATTTATCTGTTGAGTGGACCAGTAAATACATCAACAAACATCCAATATTTAGGTATTGTTTTTTTTCTTTTCTTGCCAACATTGTTTTGAAGAAAAAAGGATATTCTTTGTTTTATCTTCAGGAAAATATGAAAGTAATGATGTTATGACGTTTTATGAGCTGTACATCTCATAAAACGTTTCATGATTGGATCTGATAAATGTTTATTTCAGGTTTATCTCCATTGATAACTTGAAGAGAGGGGATGAACAAGGTCCAACTTCTGTTCTTGTTCACTCCAGTGTTCCTTTTGGAGTGCAAAATATTGATGTAAACCCAGAGCAGTTAAAGGATAAACTCATCAATTCTTTATTTGAATTGTTTCCTATGTGGCCTAAGCCTGCCAGTGTGAAGTGTATGAAGTGGAAGTATTCCCAGGTAAAGGATTTTTTGAAGAATGACTTTCATAGTTTGCTTGTAAGGACTATATTTAAAATAAAATACTACATTAAGATAGATTGCTAATATGGACTGTAATTTTATGAACAATGCTTTATGGCACTTCATGTTCTTTTTTCAGTAACAAGTTTAACATTTAATTGTTGAATTTCAAGCTGCCATTTTAACATCTACTCTAAATAGGAGTATTTTCAAAAATCATAATAGTCAACATTTTTCAATTTCAATCAGCCATAAACGTTCTCTGGGGTAATATATGAATTGGTACAAAAAATGTGGGCCCAATTATTTCAGCTGTTAAAGGTTATTGTACACAATCAAACTTACTAGAACTAATTGATTTTGGTTAAATCAGCTTGTTATGGCAATGAGGACATATAAGATATCTATTATAATTCAAAGCTACACTGTTGGATAATATTTATCGGGATCTTTTCAGGGTAGTAGCTTTTTTAACAATTAGTTGGCAAAATAGTGAAAAAAAATTACCTTTTAAAAAAAACATAAAAATTTAAAATTTTCAAACATAAGGTTTTTTTATTTTGATATTTAGGTAAGCAGCTTCTACCCTGGGAATCCTGGTAGTGTAGTGATATCCCGGAACCCAAATCTAATCCTGGCAGGAGATGCATTCTCATCTTCATCTAACTTTGAGGGATGCTTGAACAGTGCTAGCAGTGTAGCCAACATTATATCTAAACATGCTAAGCAGGAACTTTGAATATTTGCAATAGACCGATTTTGGAATTTTATGAAGTCTTAATTAAAAATGTAATCAATAGATTTAGTATTTAAAAATAAAAGATTATTATTATATGTAATATATTATTTATTATCAACTACTTTCTATTTTCTCTAAAGGTTTTTGATGATTTTGATTCAGAAAGGAATGAAATTCTATAAAAAGTGCTAGTCTAGATCAACTTGACATTAAAGGAATCATCCTTGCCACTCTCACTCAAATTTTGGAATCCCTTTATCTTTGCAACCTGTAGTTGTAAATTTTAGATATTTTAAACTATAAAACTTGGATCAAATAGTCTTATGTTTGAAATATCAAAGGTTCACTCCATCAGGTTTCAATGATACAATTACTTTAGATCTATGCTATTATTCTTCAGAAGGAGAAAGTCCAATATATGTGACATTACTGGTATAACTAGACCTCATAGACCCCCATAGAACAACCAGTATCTCGAGCTGAAATGAAATATACTTAAATGTAATAAGCACTTTTTAATTTAGTAAAGAAGGCCAGCTTTATGGACCCATCGAAGTCTGAAGAAATTGAGATTGAATTTTCTTTTGACTTTATTTTGACATTTTGCTGAAAGGGTTTTGATTGATTAGATTATGTTTCCGGAGGAAGAAGTTTCTATACATTTTTCCCAATGTGTTAGGTTGAGGATTTAAATCTATGGAGTGGTTGTGGAAAATGGTGTGAAATGAATTCCAATTTTGCAATGGATTTGGTGCCAATTTTCATTTAGATGTTTCTTTTAAGAGAAATAGATAAACTGTATCCCTGATAGTGATACAATTACACAATACATCTTTTCTTTAAATAAAAAAAGACATTGGTTAATATTTGTTAGATCTGTAATATTTTGGCTCCCTGAATCCGGATCTGCAATATCTTGGCTCCCTGGATCCGGATTTGCAATATTTTGGCTCCCTGGATCTGGATCTGCAATATTTTGGCTCCTTGGATCCGGATCTGCAATATTTTAGCTCCCTGGATCCGGATCTGCAATATTTTAGCCCTCTGGATCCGGATCTGCAATCTTTTAGCTCCCTGGATCCAAATCTGCAATATTTTAGCTCCATGGATCCGGATCTGCAATATTTTAGCTCCCTGGATCCTGATCTGCAATATTTTGGCTCCTTGGATCCGGATCTGCAATATTTTAGCTCCCTGGATCCGGATCTGCAATATTTTAGCTCCCTGGATCCAGATCTGCAATAATTTAGCTCCCTGGATCTGGATCTGCAAAATTTTGGCTCCCAGGTTCTGCATCTGCGATATTTTGGCTCCCTGGATCTGGATTCGCAAAAAAATATAGATCAATCAAAGCCTGCTAAAAAATAACTTTTGCTCTCAAAACAAGAAACTCAATTGTTTCCTAATAAGATATTAATTACAGATTTCTAATCTCTAAATTAATAAGTTTTACTTTTAGCAGAAAAAGAAGCAAAAAAGGGAGAAAAATTGTTGAATATTTTTAAAAAATCAGTAAATCTTTTAGAAATGTTCAGGGCCTGGATCCATTGTTTTCAGTACAGATCCATGATCCGGATTCAAAATGACACTGATATACATCTAAAATGTCTTTTATGGGAGGGGGGGGGGGGGTGCTTTTGTGTGTGTCCCAGAAACATCTGAACTATTCGGGCAAACACATTTTTTTGAAATCTGTGTAAATCTTTATTTTGTTAAACACCCTTGGATTATTAAATTCATTGTGACATTATTGGGCAGAGAGATTTGCTTAGTTGTATTCCTAACTCCAAGAATTGGAATAATTTTTATATTTATAAACAAGTGAACAGTCCCTTTGAAAAAGAATATTTCATGCTTTCCCTAATAATAGTTTCCTGACAATTGATAAGTACGTGATGTAAGCCATAAGTTAGAGAACTAAGAGGAGAGACAGGACAATTACTCCCAGATGGGTGATATAAAGGGGAATTTTTATTTCGGCAAACTCTTATTCAGGATGCTTCACGCCTTTTTTATCGTAAAAAAAGGTTATTTCTCAAAGATTTTTAGTTCTTAATTTTTAAATGTATGTTTTTACTGAAATTGTTCATTTAATCCGTTGTATCATTTATCATTCTGAACCTCATGAACATTTTTGAGCAGAAGACGGTAAAACAGACAAAATTTTATTTCTAATTTCAAAAATATTGATTTTGAACATTTGTCAGATGGGTAAACAATCCTATTTAAAAAATGTTCACACCTAACTCACTGAGACCTAGTCCTCTCACCCCAACCAATAATATATGGGCCGTAACTGAGTGAAGGGGGGCGGCAACTGGACGTTTTCCCCCTTTGATCCTGCATTGAGGGGGGGGCAGCACCCCCCATCTTTAGGATAAGATTCTTGATCAACATACCAATTGTTCAGGGGTTATTAGGTCAGAAAGGTTGTTTTGAGAGTGTAGTTGTAGTTTGAAAAAATACAATCAGAAAATTAAGAAAAAATGACTAAAGGAACTGCTTTTTTTTGCCACAAACTCAAATTGTCTAATCCCTATATCTTTACAATCTGATGATGTAAACCTTTCATATTTCAAACTTAGATTATTTGGTCTAATAGAATTCATATTTTGAAATATAAAAGGTCTACGACATTGGATAGCAAAGATATAGATATTAGAAAAGTAGAGTTTGTGACATAAACTCTATTCCTTTGATAGTTAACTTAAAACAATTTTCAATGTGAGCTATTAACAAAATTAAGCTAGAACAACTAAATTTTATAATAAACTAATAAAAATTTCTATATTAGCTCTTATCATCATCAAAAATAAGTTTATTATGAAAACGTCAAATTTAAGGTAAAGCAAAGGAGAATTATTATAATAAAAAATTAAATATAAAAGAAAATTAAAATCTAGCTTCAATGACTAGTTTTGATCACAAAATTATGAAAACTGAAACACTCAGTTACGGCCCTGGGTAACAGACATAATTACTTTTTTAAATGACAATTTTTAAAAGAAAAGTTTTCCGAGAAAATGGAATTTAAAACTTTGAAGAAATATTCGAAGGGTGGCTGTAAGATGGTTGAATAAATGTGTAAAGGTGGTAAGATGGATAGATGCATAGATGGATAGATAGATAGATAGATAGATAGATAGATAGATAGATAGATAAGGAGAGGTTGCCCCAAACTCCGAGAGAAGGAGAGATGATAATCAGCAACAGTCTAGCTCAGCCACTCTCATCAAACACAGCCAATTTATTTTCTCATTATTTCAAAAAAAATATGTAACGATAAACTAATCTTTTTTTTTTTAAAAAACGCCCATCCTCAGGTTCGGAATCATGCATAACAAATTTTAATTTTTTTTTATGATTTTTTTTTTTAAATAGAATACGCTTAGAATATTGTGTTGTCCTGTCAATATTCAATCTGAAAAACAATTTTAGAAATGATAAATATTCTTATATATTCTTTATTCTTTAAAGAAAAAACCATTCACCATCTGCTTATTTCTAAATTATTTCTAAATTTAGATGAAGAAGCTTACTGAAGTCTGGTTATTATTATAAAATGATTTGAATCAATAATTTTATTAATTCTAAAAAAGTTGTTTTTGATGTTTAAATCACCCTGTAGTCCGTAGATCTAAGGTTTTAAATTCTTATTCGTATAGAAACCCGATGTAGGACAACTTTTTAGTTTGACTTTGAGTCTTTTTAATTTCTCTTTCAGAAATTCCATTTGTACATTTTCTTTTTAACACTTAATTGATACAAGACCTTTCTAGCCAACTATCAAGTTTCTCTTGTAAATTATAAGTTAGTAAATTGAGTTATCTAAGTTTAAGCTCTTGAGTTTTATATCTTAAAACTTATTCCTCTCTATGTGTGTCGAATGTATTCTTTAACATATTGTTTAAGTTTCTATCCCTTCAATATTGTTTGAAGTGATATATATTCATCCATGCTGCTGGCTTCAATTGAAATATTCAGAATTAAGAAGCACAGTACGCAGTATAGTACTATACTTAAATTTATTCACAGATATTTCACATGTTTGCAACAGCCAATGCTTTGAACGCCCTCTATGAAAAGAAAAAAAAACATGCACCGCCTCTTCAAGGTTCTATAAACGTGATATTTATTTAACATTTGTCTGACTGTTTTTAATTTTGAAAACTGGTTAGTTTCAATTGTGGTTTCTCTACAAAAGTGACTTGCTCATTTCTTCTTCAGTGAAACCATGTAGGAATCAACAGAATTCATCACTTTTTAAGCTAGGAAATGACATTTTCCTTCACATTATTGATCAAAAGGTTTCAAGGTTTAAATGTAAAAAATAAATAAAGTGGCAATTATTTACGCCCCCCCCCCCTCCCATTAAACCAATTCCGCCGCACATACCCCTCTTCCTTTTAAACAACGCACCTGTAATGACGTTATTAGCTTCATAAAAGCTGAAAAGAAATCAAAGTCAATTGATAGAATTTCAAGAAAAAATATTTATTAAATTAACTAAAAATCACGAGTCCATGAAGACCTTGAGAAATAAAACATTTAGGGAAGGTAGAATTTATAATTAAAAGAAGTCGAACCTGGTATGATTAGGTTGAATTAGCTCTTAACTATCTTTATAATCAAGGTTAGCTCTTAACTATCTTTATAATCAAGGTTAGCTCTTAACTATCTTTATAATCAAGGTTAGCTCTTAACTATCTTTATAATCAAGATTAGCTTCTTTATTAATAAATTTCAACCATATATGTGTTATTTTTAAAAGAACCAAAGCATAGCATTTATTTTAATGAAAGTCGGGTTTTATCCGGAGTACAAGTAGTTCATAATAGTGCTTAGAGGGGGTCTATTGTGACAAATTCCTGTACACGCCCCTTGTGGCAATGATGTTGAAATTTCAAATTCTTTTTGTAAGCAAAAGCTTAGAATAGTTTACGAGTTCGGATTATTAAAGATGAATGATCAAACAAATACTTTTACGCTTAAGATTATTATTTAAGAGAGCATCTACTGAACCAGAAACTCTAATTAGAATTTACATGAATTTCTGCCAAATTTATTAATAGGACTAAAAATTTTATTTCAAGTGAACCTCGGTTGATACAGTGGCATGTTATATTCACAATGGTACCCATAAGAGTGTTGTCTGAATGAATTAGAAGTATGAGTTAGTTAATTCCTTTTTTTTGTTATCAAAACTAAATATTTTCATTTGTGGTGAATCATATGTGACCTTCGCATTTCTTGCTCCAGAAACAATTGAGAAATTAACAAAATTTTGTACTTTTTCGTCTTAGTGATCTTGTAAGTACGTTTTATATTATCACATTTAAGACTTAAAACGACATGAAAGAAAATGTTTAAAACATTTGTTTTCTTCCAAGAAGATCGAATTAATTCCCCCTATTCAATATTATTCTAAGGTATTTAGTGGCAGTTTTATTTTCTCCGAAGATTAACTCTGTTCTCTTTAAATCTGTTTCTAGCTCTTACAAATATAAGAGGAACGCTAGTAAATGTACTCTGTTTTTTTTTTCAAAATAAATCAGAAAAGTTTGTGAATCTAAATGGGAAAAAGTTATCAAAACTCAAAATAAAAGGAATTGATTCTTTGCCACAAACTCTGATTTTCTAATCCCTATACACACTACAACCCAATGTCGTAGATCTTAGATTTTTCAATTTATGAATTCTGAGCTGAAAACTTTAGAATGGTGGATATCAGGATTAAGGCTTAAACCACTCTTTTTCTTAATATCCAGTTTAAATATTGCTTGTTCTCCACATGAATTTAAACTCCAGAGAAGCAAATTGATCTGACAATTGGATATTTCATTCTAAAGTTTTCAGCTCTGTTAGATCAAATAATTTTAGTTGGGAAAATCAAAGGTTTACACCATCAGGTTGCAAAGATATAAGGATTAGAATATTTGAGTTTGTAGCAAGGTTCAAAATTCTTTGTAGATATCTCATTCGACATAATCTTAGTATTCTAAAAGGGTGTCCAGTTTCCCAAGACTTCTAAACTTTTCGTAAATCAGTGGGCAGTGACCACTGTATCAAAACTTTTAGAATCCATATTTCATATAAACGTTACTTGAAGGGGATTGTTCATTTGGCGTACCGTCCCGCTTTGCGTTATATTGTCTGTATGTGTACTGTAAACTGTACCGCTTGATGTAGCAGGTCAAAAGATGGCTCGGCACGGAAATGAACCAGTGATGGAAACAATAGATATTGTTTTCTTTCCAGTTTTGACAATACAAAATTAAGAAAGAAAATGGTTGTTTTGCGGTAAAAAAATGTAAGACAATATAGAAGCAGACTGATGTATTCTGAAACTTGATATTCCTGTGTTTGCAATTCCATACAGTTTTTATTGCAATTTAAACTCCCTAATGCAAATAAATGTCTCTAATTTCTATAACATTACCATCCTCCACTATATTCATCCTAGGGACTGTAGTCTTTATTTTTAAGTGACCATTCATTCATAGAATGACAAAAGAATTTATCAAAAATTAATACGAATTATTTCTCTTATTCTTCAAAAAAAATGATTTTTTCAATCCTGGTTTCTCCTTTAAAGTGGCGGTTTTATCCAGCAGCAACAATGAAAGACAAAAATTGAGCACATTTTAAGATTTTTTTCGGAAAAATCCAAATTTTCGCATAAAACAATCTTTAATTGGTTGGTGCAATTAAATATGCGTTTTACTCAACAGTCACAAAATAAGAATTGTTCTATGTCAAATTTAGAGCCAATTCTACATAGCCCACGCCCCATACTGTACCAAAAATCATCAAATTATTTAGATATCTGAGGAAATTAAAGAAATTAAAGTGCGGGCCATATAGAAGGCTCTAGATTCGACATAGAACAATTCTTATTTTAAGACTGTTGAGTAAAAACGCATTTTTAAATTGAACCTTAAAAAATTTTGTGAGAGAAGAATTGGATTTTTTTGAAAAAAACTTTGAAATTAGATAATTTATAAAGATGTATAAGACCAGCTCAAATGAAACCTTTCTTTATCCAGCTAAAAAAAAGATTTTTTTACATTTACCAATAATCTTTAATGTATAAGCTAAAACAAATGTTTTCAGTTTGGATAATCAAAACTATATGACCTCCACAGGCTAGTTGGACTGAAATTTGTGATTTTTTCCCTGCAAATATCTAAACAAAGAACTTTGACGGACTTTTCTCGAATAAATTTTCACATTTGACTCCAAACCCCTGAGAGCAACTCCAAAATCCTGGGAGCAATTCAAAAACCGAGAGAGCAGCCACGCCTCCCTCGTTGATCGAATAATTAGTTGATGGAATGTTGGTTGATGAGATGTTTGGTTGATGGAATGTTTAGTTGATGGAATGCTTAGTTGATGGAATATTGGTTGATGTTTGGTTGATGAAATGTTCGGTTGATAAATGCTTGGGTGACGAATGTTTGGTTGATAAAATGTTTGGTTGATAAAATGTTTGGTTGGCGAATGTTTGATTGATTGCAGCACATGGTTGGTATAAATAAATAACTTGTGTAACCAAATCTTTTTTTCTTTAGTGTTTCTAATATTCCATTAATCAATCAGCTGGTTCTAATCTTATAAACCTTGTCTGATTAATATTCATAATTACATCTGTTTATTCTAAACTACTTCAACCATAGAGAAAATATAAAATAAAGAGTCTCAAAATTCCCTCTGTGCACAATGAAACACCCCCGTGAATAGACATCCATGACTGTGCAATTAAATTTCTTATCTGATATTTAATGTTATTTTGACATTTTAGTATTTAGATGTGTTTCTATTTCAAATCTAAAAAGCCCCTCCACCCCCCCCCCCCCC